CTACAGAACTCATTCTTAAACTCCATTCCATTTCCCTGAAATATGCAGATAAAGATTCTCTAAAACTTCTGAGTAAACAACATCATTTCATTTTTCACTACTTCACAAGATCTCCTAATACTTTTAAGTATAGGGGTATTAAAAAATAAAAATCACTATTATTTTTACAAATAGAGTCATTGCCTAGAAGTAGCATGGAAGTATCACTCAGTTATCAGTTTTACTAAACTTTTGAGAATAGTTTTAAATTTACAGAAAAACTGTGAAGATGTACAAAGAATCCTCATACAACTTACATACAGTTTCTCCTCTTATTGACATCCTACATTAGTATGGAAAATTTACCACAACTAATAAGCAAATACTGACGAATTATTATCTCAATATTACTTCATTCAGATTTCCTTAGGCTTTATCCAGTGTCTTTTTCTCTTCTAGACTCTTCGTCCAAAATACATTACATTTCGTTGTCAGTTTCTTAGGCTCTTCTTAGCTATGGCAGTTTTCAGACTTCCTTGCTGTGATGATCTAAGGGGTGTACTGGTTGGTGTTATAGAATTCGCGTTTAAATTTGTGTCAAGTTCCATTCTCGTCAGACCACACAGAGCTTCACGCCATCATCAGGAGTTAGAAGTCTTCATGTTGACCTTGATCACCTGACTTAAGCAATGCTGATCAGTTTCCTGCGCTGGTGCATTACTCTCTTCTCCCTCTTCCTGTCCAAGTATGGAGCTCTTTGCAAGGAGGTCACTATGTGTAGTCCACACTTACAAAGTCAGGAGTTAATATCTACTCCTTGAGGGGGTAGTATCTACAGATTATTTGGAATTCCATACAGAATATTTGCCTCTTCATTTATATGCTCAGTTGTTGATATCATTTGTTGATGCATGAATATTTTATACTTTGGGTTATAGTCTAATACCAATTATTTATTTTCTTGTTTCTGCTTTGGCCAACGGATCTCTTTCAGTTTACTCCTGTGTCCCTTTGACTTCCCTCCTCCCCAGTGTTGCAGGTTTTTTTTTTTTTAATATACCCTTGTTTTGCAAAATTACAAAAGGTTTCAGGTTCTTCTTGTATGTTTCCTTCTCTGGCCCTAGGTTTACATTTGGCTACTTCTCTAAGGAACTCTGGTTCCTTCTATGAGTATGGAATTAAAAAGAAAGATCTAGTCCTGCTAAGTGAAAGCCACTGTGATCTTAATCACTTCCTTTACCCCTCTCCTGCCTGAATATATTTGCCAGTTGACTGAAGGATCATTGGCTTCAATCAGGAGGAAACTGCATTTTAATATCAGAAGTATTTTATGGTTTTGACAATTCCAAAATTTAACAATGTTTAGGTATAACATTTATAAATATGTTGAACTTGTGCTTTGTATATAAATAACATATATACAACATATATAAATATGTTGTATTTATTTCAAAGCTCTGATTTTAATTCCCTTTGTGGTTTTATTTTTGAGTGCTAACATTTGTCGTTTGTCCTATTCAAATCTTTCTTTTTTTTTTATTTTTTGGTTTTTTGAGACAGGGTCTCACTATGTAGTTGAGACTGACCTGGAACTTACTATGTAGCTCAGGCTGGTCTCGAACTCACAGCAATCCTCCTGCCTCAGCCTGACTGCTGGGATTACAGGCATGTGCCACCATGCCCAGCCACCTATTCAAATCATTTAATGCTTAGAAAACAAGGTTCCTAGGGAAAGAAAGGGTGGATTACTTCTCTTCAGGCTTAGTTGGGTGCAGCCTGGTAATTCATTAGAAACAACAGGTTGTATCCCAGTCTAGGAAAATTTAATATACACTATCTTTATTCAATCTTTGATTAAAAAGAATTATATTAGGACCAAAGATATGTGAAAGACTGGTTTTAGAATGAAAAGATTGCAACAAAGGAAGAGAATGACACAGATACCATTATCAAACCAAATAGCTACCTTTTTTTTTTATGATGTGTGAAGGAAACTGGCCTTTCATACCAGGAGTGGCTCTTTCAGAGAGGCAATGTCAAATATGCATTCTATGCAACAAGGCTTTAAATAGTTTTAAATCCATAAATATGTCCTATAGTAAATTATCATACTACTACAGTCTTCAGAAATACACAAGCAAAATAGTAATTAACTGATAATGTATATCCCCCAGCAATTTAAACAAGTGAGATTGTACTAAATGCTAGCCAAAAGGTGGCATCTTAGCATCAAGCATACACACACACACAGTGCAATGTACTAGGCCCATGGATTGTTCTTCCCTCTACTTCCCTTTCCAATTACTGGCTACAGATACTTATTACACCCAAATTAAACACTCTGAGTAACCTGATAGCACTTCAAAGAAATAATATGTAATCAGCGATGAGGGAATCACAGTGTTTGGGCTACTCATGAAAACTAAAGCCTCTTCAGAGCTCCTAGAGCCTTGAAATATAGTCATGGGTCTCTACTGATACTGCAAAACAGCTCTGTCTTCTGTGTTACTTAACACTGCTAAATCCACACACAAAAGTTTGGCACCTATGAGCTACATTCTTTTGAAGCTCAATAAGTCACTCAGAGCTGGGTGGCTAGAAGCCTGACCTGTTCATTTCTGTGCTCCCACCAGAGTGTTTCTGAAGGCTGGTCTTTTCCATGTGTTTCCTAATGGATATTATTTGGGATTCAGAAGGTATTATCTTTGGCCAGGGCAAAACACTGGAGACAGCAGACACAAATCCATAGAAAAAAATAACTTCTTTTTATTTACAAAAAAATCCAAATATTGGATGCTGTAAACAAAATTCACAATCTGTTCCCTCTAGCACTGATTCAAACATGTCAGTTTTCAAGAGTCCATTTCGATCAACTCCTTTTCTGCCTGTGACACACTACGGTCAAAATATTCCAAAAGAGTGCCCGAAGGTGCAGCTTGCCGCAGTAGGATGCCTCGGAGTAGGCAACAGTTGTAGAGAGGTGGGAGGGAGAGACAGCCAGCAGGCAGTCTCCATTCTGCAAAGTTTTGCAGCAAGTCTTCCCAGTTACCTTGACACCTTCCCACTTTGTACTTTTACCATTTACTTTGTTAGCAAGCCAGTATTATAACAAAATATTACGTAGAGAGTCTTTCTTAGCACTGAAAAGGCTATGCTAAAAGAAATCTTAAAGAAAGGTTATATTCAATAGGTGCTATATATGAAGTCACTTTTTTTTTTTTTTTACTTTTTGGTTTCATCTAACACACTTCATCTTCAACAACAAAAAAAGCTTATTTTTGACAGCTTTCAACATAATACATTTCATTTACAAAATACTTCACAATATTTATTTAACAAGCATTGCATTGAAAACAATCTTATGCATGGTAAAACAACCAACAAGAAGCAAACAGAAAGGGGTGGTACAAATAGTATGTTCACTTATTTCATTTTCGTCTTGGCTTGCAGTACAGAAACTCTTCCATTCTTGCCTATTTTGGATCCACATTGAAATAGGCCGCCCATTACTAAAGTGAGCATATCCTTGATCCCATTTCTGGAAAGGAAAAGTCCGTCCTGGTGTAAGAGTTGTTGAAGCAGCTGGATTTACCGCAGATGAAGTAAACTTTTTTTAGCGGGCCTTGTTACAAGCTAAGTGTTCTCTGACATGCCAGACTGGACAGGTAAGAAGAGCTTCCAGAAGAAAAAGACTTCTTCCTATTTCAAAGGAATAGCACACTAGGCCAGATAAACACAAAAGCAAACAAATCACAGGCACTAATCAGGAGTTGAGAGTTGTTCTTTTCTCTGACTTATACACACAGCTTTCACCAGACATTCAGATTTTTAGGCCACACATCCACAGAGACATATATCACACTGCATATTCAACTACATATGCACAAGACTATAGTACACACAAAATAGAAATAAATTATATAAGTCTCAAAGTAAATGCTGAAAGTTGTCGAATATAGCCTGTTCTAACTGAATGCCAGGTACCAACTAAGCTACCAACTCTGAAGTAAGCCAGAAAAGAATATAAATATTTGAGAAAATAAATGAAAAGTGTATTTTCAAATAAGACTCTTTTAAACAAAAACCTGTGTCATAAATTAACAGCAGGTTGCTGCTATGGAAAAGCCACACACCTCCACACTCTTTAAAATAGTAGACAACTCACTCCTCGAGTTAAGATGAGAAGAAAGCAGATCACCAGCTGCTCCTCTGTTCCTCAGCATTCCTTTAGTTTTCTTTTAGGACACTTTCAAATTACCAAGCAGACAGAGCTCTGGTTTCTGACAGATGAGTGCCGGCTTTATTCTGCAAGTTGAATAAAGTTTCCTAGGATTTTGCAATTAATTTTTCAAACCCAGGGTTGGGGTGGGGGAAACTGAGCCAAAATGGGAGTTCCCTAGAAAACAGTGAGTGGCAGTGCAGGGGCTGCAACGGCTCTGAAAGAATTCACCTGGGAAGCTGTTACAGCAAACCAATCAGGTTCCCCCTTCAAAGAAAGATGCAAAAAATGTATCCAGATGGATTAACCTGGATTAATGTAGTATTTAACATCTGAAAGATGCCCAGATAGCAGACAAACAAATTACACTGCCAATAGGAGAATGCTATCTTCTTCCCTGGTCCCTCTTTAATGACATTTTTCTGGTTGGGTCTTCAGGGGAATTATCACAGCAGGCAGGCTTCCAATAGGGTTGGTGGGGATTATGTGGTTTTTATGTGTTAGTTTTAACAAATGCATTTTCAGAGACCAGTGTCTAGAAGGGTGAGAAAAGTGGTGGTTTTAGGATTAGCTGTCATCAAACTAAAATAATACTAGTTCATTTCACAAAGGTATAACTGGTCTCTTGGAAAACAGAAAATAAAGTTGGGTTTGATTTATTGCAAAGTGATTAAATTTAAAGTACAGTACTAAATATTTAAATGCAGTTAGAATACCAGATCAAAGATGTTTCATACTGGCATAAATCTATAAAATGTATATATAATATATATCTCATATATAAACTTTATGCAATTGTGCAAATACTCTTTAAAAAGGGTCATTTCACATTTACTAAATTCTAGTGGTCCTCAAATGCAGAATGCATTTAATTAAAAATTCATTTAAATATTTATAAGTAGTGTTCAGATCACCAGAAATTATTATTAGCAGTTAGGGATTTAGGTAGCCTACTAATGGTTCATGAGCCACAAGATTACATACCATAGAGGCATGCAATTATTTAAAAAAAGAAAAAAATGGGCTCAAACTGTCAAGATGGCAGTTCAAATATTTAAAAAAATAAGTTCTGCCAAACATTCTGTCATTTGTGGGATTTTCTGGCTCACAAAAATAAAACAAAAAACCCAAAACCTCACAAAAAATGTATAATCTCTGCTCTTCTTATCAAATATATTATTTGTTTCTCCCCGTTTGCTTTTTTTTTTTTAGATGTGGGTTTTAATTCATCATTGCAATATGCCCACGTTTCATGTCATCCTAAACATAAAAGCACACAATATTGAAACATTTCCTATGTGATACACTGTTCTAGATCAATGTAGTGTGCATATATGCATATACAACATGTATGCATATGCACACACAGAACACACATGTACCTATGATAACATCAGACCAATAAAGTCAACTTTATACAGGTATTTGACAAGAAAAAATAGGGCACCTCCTCCACCATTCACAAGCTTATATGTTGTTTTATTTTCTTCTGAGTCCCTGATAAAATAAAATTATTATTAAACCATAAAACAATTTTTTCACTTCAAATTTTCAGAAAGCAACAGGCACTTTGATGTATACTGGAGTGTAACAAATATAATAACTATATTCTGTATCTCTGTACTTGGGTATTTTCATCTGTTTAAATCTTTGGTCCTTGAGCATATTTTCTTCGCTACAGCTGTTTTTGCTTGCATTTTATATTTTTAAAAATGCGAGCTATTGTACGTAGCTGAAATTAATAAATTGTGTCATCACAAGTTCTGCTGTTTGTTATGCAAACTGCATCAACCTACTACTGTTCACTTGGAACAAGCTGTTTCTGTTAGCCCCACAAGATCCTTCTACAGAAAAGCAATTGCTACAGGCCTTAGACAATAATCCTGATGTTGGAATTCCCTTCTTCCTGTATTGTTACTATTTGAACTCCTGAACTAATAAACAAGAAGGGGTAAGACCTTTTTCCTCTGTATTTTCACTTTTGTGAATTCACCTTACAAGTTTTTCAACCATTTTTTCCCACCATGGCAAAGCTATGGGAGCAGTTTCTGCAAACCCATATTGTCATGAAGCATTTTAAGAGAACCTGGATGCTTTAAATGACAGGTCTCTTTTGTTTCAAGGTAGAATCCAATTAAGTAAGACAAGGGGAGAGTTAAAGGGGGTGATGATTTATAGATCATGCTCCCATACCAATGAAAAGATCCATAAGCTTTGCCAAGCTTAAAACCAAGAGCAAATCATCATTGCACAAAACACATCCCTAATTAGGGCTGCATTACTCCTTTTTTTTTTTCTTTTTTCTTTTTTCCTATTTTGTCTGAAATGGCTTCCCGCCAGGACATTTTTAAATGATTGTTAATTGCAGGGTAGCCAAGTTGAGTATGTCTGCTGCTGGCATGTGAATACTGGCTGAACTTGTGCAATGTAGTAATTGCTAAAGTTAGCATCTGCTACATAGGGAGCTGGTTGGTAATAACATGTGACATTAGCCACATTAGGGATAACATTCTGGTCAGCTAGCACCCGGATAGCCAGCATGGTGATAAGGTTTAAAGTTTGTCTTCTTTCATGTCCCATCAGGCATACTGTGCTCTCATTCACCACTCCGTGTAAGGTCATGAGATAATCATACTTGCGGTCTTCCAATCCCACGAAGTGGTTCTGCAAATAAGACTCCAGTTTTCTCTGCTGCTCTCCAATGTCTGAGAAATCGATGAAAAACCTGGAACACATATACCTCTGGAGAGTCTTGATCTCATCAGAGGCTGGCCTAAAGCCCCTCACTAAGAGGTTGCAGTACTTAAGCAGGCCTCCCCCTCTAATTTCCTCTGGGTTCCTGGTGGCAATGATCTTGTTACAAAGGTGATCAAAAGCTTCATGGAAATCGCCATAGACACTCTCACCGATAATTGTGGGGTGAAATGTTTCAGTCATTGGGTTCTCTGAACATTCGTAAAAGAGGAGGAGAGAGTCTAATTTGATTTGAAAAGAATCTACACTGAATTCAAACTGCCTCCGGAGGGAATCCACAAATTTCAGTTCCACATTTTTGCCACTGTTGTTTGACAGGGATATAAGACTCCACCGGTCAGAGTCATTGCACACTTTAACCATTTTCTGCACATAAGCTTCCTACAATTTAAAAGATAAAACAAAATGAGCAAACCTAGAAAAAAAATAGTAAATAAATACATCTTCTTTACAGCTGAAAATTATTTTACTGTTTCCCTTTTGTTTTGTCAAGTTTCAGCAAAACACTACCTACAAGTTTAAACAGTCTCCTGAAAACAGAACCAAAAAATACATTTAACGAGTAGTTTTACTGTCTGGGAAAGAAACTAGAAGTAATAGTTTGAGGCTTTTGGCAGACGAATCAGAGTACTAAGAGACTCTGTTGTCATGTCTGACTTTTGAAATGTGTATTTTTTTTTAAAAATGGTCTAAGAGGCACAACAATATCCACACATATTCTAGACTCAGTAGGACACAGTGTTGAGTTAGTCTTTCTCTCAGCCTTGTACTCAGCCACCCAATCTACCTCCCCCTAAGGTAATTAATGTTATCAGTCAATATCTGATGAGTCTCTCCAGGGACATTCTATAAATTATAATCAAGTATGAACTGAATTGCCTTCAATTTTACTAATTATATACATAAGGTGACTTAAACTCCTGTAGGTGCGGGAGAGGGGATGTTACCACTATGCCCTTAACATGTGAACCAACAAAGAGAACCACCAAATGTATATTTAACACAGGGAGTCAGCTGAAAGCAGCTATGAAATCTGTTCACATTTTCCAGTACACTAAAAAACCCATTGACTTAGTTCTGCTTCAGGCTGCTATTTTCCCAAAGACTAGACCATAAAGTGACTGCAAAAAATTATTTACACCATTTCATTCTTCCACCTCTCAGAATCTACTCTGGACAAGATTCCAGCAAGGAAAGCCAAGAGTTAAACAGTAAGAGGAAGGAAGAGAAGGGAGGACAGAAGAGGAAGCTGGAGAAGAGTTGTGGCGCTGAAGCTCCAAGTAAACTAAAAAACTCAGTATCCTCCACACGCACCTCAGATTACTCAATGAGAAAAACAAAATCAAAAGAAATAAGCGCTCACAAGCCAATGGCGGCAGCAGATTCGCAGCACTGACGTTGGCCCTCTGCCTCTGCCCGCTGCCCGCCGCCCCCGCCCGTCGCGGGTCGGAACCTAACCTAACCTCCCTGCGGCTTTACCTTGAGTGTCAGTGGTGTAATCTTCTCCTTGTTCACTCCTTCGGGTAAGAAGTCCAACAGACAGTCCAGCACGACGTCCTTCACAGTCTGAAACTCTTCTTCCCCGCGCAGGTCCGCGCAGAAGATGAGGTCCAGGTCTTTGTAGCCCAGGCCGCTGTCCTGGTGCAGGACATGGCTAGCGGCCGAGCCGTTGAGGCGCACGTCTCGAACGCTGATGTGCTTCTCGGCCAGACGCCGCCGGACTACCTTAACGATGAGGCTGGGCTGCAGCTCCAGCGTGGGGAAGTTGCCGCGCCCGTGGATCGGGATGGTCTCGCTCAGGATGCCGTCCAGCCGCTGCACTTGCTCCCAGTTCAGCACGTTGCAGTGCGCGGTAGAGCTTTCGCAGTAATCCAAGCAGTGCCCAGCTAAACTGCCACCGCCGCCAAAATCGCCGCCGCCGAAGTCGCCGCCCAGGGGGATGTAGGGGCCTCCAGACAGTTCGTCCTCGGCCATGGCAAAGTACCCTTCGCCCTCTGCCATGTAGTGCCCGCCGAGCGCCACTTGGCCTTGGTCTGTCCTAAAAGAAAAGAATAGGGAAGGCGCGCGTGAAGACGCACAGCCGCGAGGGCTGCGCAGGGGAGAGCGACCCCCTCCCCGGACGACCCCGGCCCGGGGAGCTCCTCGGAGAGGCTCCCTGCCCTCCCCCGATG